GAGCAGGGCCCTCAGCTTCTACTCTACATCCCAGAGCTCATGGCCGTGTGGTGTGTGTGTGTGTGTGTGTGTGTGTGTGTGTGTGTGTGTGTGTGTGTGTGTGTGTGTGTGTGTGTGTGTGTATGAGGGAGAGGGAGAGAGAGAAGCAGTTACTGGTAAATAAGAATGTTGAGGTCGCTGTCATCTTTTTCTTGAAGGAAGCCTATGGAAATCATGAGCTCCATAACATCAAGACCTATGTCCAGTGCAGTTTTATTTCTCTTGCTGTTCTTGGCAGAGTGCTGGGTGGCAAGTAAGCACTCGATAAATATTCTTTATTGCATCTGTATAATAAAGACAGAGCATTATATATTAGATTTATGGTGCCCTCAGATGATGTGTGTCCCACTGTTTGTCTAGATCATGATGAATAGGCACTTGATGCAGGCTGTCCTCCCTCCCTCCCTCCCTCCCTCCCTCTGTCTGTCCTCCCTGCCCCTCTCTGTCCTCCAGTAAGCTCAGCATGAGAAGTCTGGTCTTGGTCTGTAGCATTTGAAGTTTCACCAAAAGAATTAATAAGCAAACATTAGAGATTCTTTATCAGACTAGAAAATATTTTCTCTACAATGTCCTGTCTGTTTCAGGAGTTTTAAGTCAGCCTTTAGTCCTCAGCACCCTTTCCAGTCTGAGGCTGAGGGTGCAGCTCCGTGGCAGACCACTTGTCTAGCATGCACAAGTCCCCATGTTCTCTCCTCAGCCTGACGGGAAGGTGGGGGGGCGGGGGACAAAACCAGGGACTCAGGGCCGTCAAAATGGCTCGGCAGCCAAAGGTGCTTGCCACGTAAGCATCACGGCCTGAGTTCAATCCCAGAGCCCAGATAAAGAGAGCCAAGGGAGATAGCACGGATCTGTGATCCGGCAATCCCAGCACTCGGATGTGGTGGTGGGAGGTAGACACAGAATGGCTCGGAGGCACTCAGAAGCTGTGCCGAAATGCACAGAGCAGCGGCAGCAAGAGAGGAAAGTGAGCAAGCTCCAGTAAGACAGGAGGGAGCCAGCCCCTGGAAGCTCTCTCCTGGCCTCCGCACACGCCATGGTACATGCCCACGAGCACACACACACAATAATTAATAAGCAAACTTTGGAGATTTTGTTGTTGTTTTCATGTTTACTTGTCTGTTTTCAGAGATTAGGTCTCACTATGTAGCTCTGGCTGGCCTGGAACTCACAAAGACCTGCTTGCCTCAGAGCCTCCCAAGTGTTGCAATTAAAGGCATGTGCCACCACGCCCTGCTTAAACTTGTATTTTAAGATTTTATTTATTTTTATTTTATGGGAATGGATATTTTTATGTTGAGTATTATATGAATGAGTATGTTAAGTTCATGCACATGTGAGTGCCTGTTGTGTGAGGAGGCCAGATGGGGTATCAGATCTCCTAGACCTGGAATTACAGACAGTTGTAAGCCACTGTGTAGGTGCTAAGAACCGAACCTGGGTCCTCTGCAAGAGCAGCCAGTGCTTTTAACTACTGAACTGTCTCTCCAGCCCTATATAGCTTTTTTGAAAATGAAGAAGAGTAAGAATGTTGTCTCAGCCAGGAGGTGGTGGCACAGGTCTTTAATCCCAGCACCCAGGAGGCAGAGGCAGGGGGATCTTTGTGAGTTCGAGACCAGCCTGAACCAGAGTAAGTTCCAGGACAGGCACAAAGCTACACAGAGAAATCCTGTCTCGAAAAACAAACAAACAAACAAACAAACAAACAGAATGTTGTCTGCTGTTCCCCACCCCCAGGGAATCCATTTCTTAATTCTTGTGAAGCTGTGAAGCTTTGGTGCACTTTGTGTATGTGTCCCAGTATATACAGAAGCTGCCATTCTAAACAGTTTTAATTGTGTGATTCGGTGGTTTTGAGTGCATTCCCATTACCGGGCAAACCTCAGCACTCTCTCCAGAAGTTTGTTCACCTTCCCAAATTGAAACTCTTGACTCATTAAGCAGTAACTCCCCATTCCTTATGGGAACCGCTATCCTACATTCTGTCTCTATAAATCTGACTGACCCAAGTATCTCATGGAAATACAGTTAAACCAAAAATCCTTCCCCCGTGCCCTTTATTTTACTGCTGCTGTTGTTGTTATTTTGTTTTCAAAATAAGGTCTCACCATGTAGCCCAGGCAAGCATCAAACTAAAAACTCTCCTGCCTCAGCCTCCAGAGTGTAGGGACTGCAGACATGCACCACCATGGCCTGGAGAAAGAGGTGAGGCCGACCTGGTTTCTTCGTTTTGTTTACTGGCTCATCCCTCAGTGGACACTTATACCGATTCCATTTTGCATGGTCTTTGGATGGAAGCAGGAAGTTGGTATCAGTGTACGTCTAGTGCAGATACAGGGGTACTGAAGAACCTGTGTGTCCACTCCAGTGATACACTCATCTACAAGGTGGATGCTGGCACATGCGTCTGTCAGCCAGCAGACTGTAGCGTCCATATTAGGGGTCAGCCCCAGCTCTGGGCAGCCCACATCAAGGCAAGAAAATGACCTGAACTTAGGAGCTGCAAAAATTATGCCACTTGGTACGTAGAGGTAGGGATTCCATGAGTGTCTGACTGAATGCTTGAATACAGGTGCGCTTTTGTTCATAACTCTCCAAAACTGAAAATCACCCATTTTTGAAACAGGAAAACAGTTGGTGAGGGCCAGCGAGATGGCTCCGAGGGTAAAGGCACCCTGGTGACCTGAGTTTGATCCCAGGCACCCATGCAAAGGTGGAAGGGGAAACTGACTCCTCGGGGTTGTCCTCCGACCTCCAGACAGCCCCCTCTCAAACACACACACACACTAATAAATTACAGATGCATAGGGAGTCCCCTTTTTTTAAAGATTTATTTATTACGTATACGATGTTCTGCCTGCATGTATGCCTGCAGGCCAGAAGAGGGCACCAGATCTCATTACAGATGGTTGTGAGCCACCATGTAGTGGCTGGGAATTGAACTCAGGACCTCTGGAAGAGCAGCCAGTGCCCTTACCTCTGAGCCATCTCTCCAGCCCCAGGAGTCCTTTTAAAGAGAAAAACAGATGAGATATATTTACATGATATAACACTTTATACAATAAAAATAAACTGTAATAAACAAAAGCATGGAGCAGCCCTTAAGGAGAAGCCATACATAGCAAATGCATACTACTTAATTCCACTTATAAAGCTCAAAAGTAGACTAAGGTAGTGGTTCTCAATCTTCCTGATGCCGTAACCCTTTAATGGAGTTCCTCGTGTTGTGGTGACCCCCAACCATAAAGTTATTTTGTTGATACTTCATAACTGTAATTTTGCTACTTTTATGAATCATAATGTAAATATATGATATGCAGGATATCTGATATGCGACCCCTGTGGGGGTCATGACCCACAGGTTGAGAACCACTGGCCTAAGGGGAAGTTTTAGGTTTTGTTTTTTTAATGGAAAGGAATCCCCTAAAAGTCCACATAGTGGTTGTTACTGGGAATATGGGTGGTAGAAGCTCGTGACTGAAAAATGGCTTGCAGTGGGGGAGGAATCTTCTAGGATGCTGTTCCTTGACCCAAATGGAGATCCTGTGGGTACTAATTTAATAACAGCTTCTTAAGTGTGGGTGTTTGTGTTTTATGCAACCTTAGAGTCATCATATTGTACAATAAAACATCTTTTCAATTCTGATTCTCCAAAGGACAAATTATAGGAAGTCACATGACGTAATCATACACCCAGAGATCTAGCTCTCTGTTTGATGTGATAAGAAAGATACACTTGGCCCCGCTTGGAGAGTGCTAGGGAATAGGTGTAGACGATCTGTACTCAGCATCCTCATTATTGTGCTCCTAGGCTCTGTAGTTCAGGGATGGAAACTGAAGCATCTGCACTCCATAGACGCTAGCTAACATGTACAATGCCCAGGACATTCCCCCGTGTCCCACTTCCGCCTTCATTGTGGTCACAGTGTGATTTGTGAGAAGTGGGGTAAATAAACAGGCCACTCTTCTCCCGGGAAGGAGCTCCGGGCGCCCCTGATGCAAATAACTGCTTTGCTGGAGTCGTCATAGACCAGCTTCAGGAAAGAATTTCTTCATCCCCAGAATGTCATCGAGGTCCCATGGTGCATCATTTCACCTGGAGCTTTTTAAACAGAGATCATCAACAGCCTTCCCGGTCGGTGCTGGGGTTTTGCTAAGTACTGATACCTATCCCTTGTATGTCCCTGACTTTAGTGATTCTCTTATTACCCTAAGCCTAAAAGGCCTGTGAGTGGACTGTTCAATGTAGACCTGACTCGGATTTTACTCCTTAAGATGTGCAGCAGAGCCTGGGCGGTGGTGGCACACGCCTTTAATCCCAGCACTCAGGAGGCAGAGCCAGGCGGATCTCTGTGAGTTCAAGGCTAGCCTGGGCTACCAAGTGAGTTCCAGGAAAGGTGCAAAGCTACACAGAGAAACCCTGTCTCGAAAAACCAAAAAAAAAAAAAAAAAAAAAAAAGATGTGCAGCAGGTGAAGTGGCCACAACCCCATAAGGAAACATCACCGCAGCAGCTTCATGTCAGAGTCTACATGGGAGGGAGAGTCAGTTAGCCAGCTTGCCCTCCTTAGGGTAATGCTCTAAAGCAGTAGTTCTCAACCTGTGGGTGGTGACCCCTTTGGGAGAGTTGAAGGACCCTTTCACAGGGGTCACGTATCGGACATCCTGCTTATCAGATATTTACATTACGATTCAGAACAGTAGCACAATTGCAGTTGTGAAATGGCAATGGATAACTTCATGGTTGGGGGTCACCCCAGCATGGGGAACTGTGTGCAAGGGTCGCCACAGCATGAGGGAGATTGAGAACCTCTGCTCCAGTGTTTGTCCTGTGGTGCCCACAGTTGCTGTCCCTTGACTGACTGGTTCAGCATCTGGAAGGTGGGAGAGTGTGTTTCCTGCCGGTTTCTCTGGCTTTGCTCTTTCTCCCGGCTCTGCCTTACCTTGCTGCCGCTTCTCTTTCAGGGCCTGACTTTCCAGGAGGTAGAGAACTTCTTCACTTTCCTGAAGAACATCAATGACGTGGACACTGCATTGAGCTTTTACCACATGGCTGGAGCATCTCTCGATAAAGGTAATAAAACCCGGAAAAAGTTTCTTTCTTGAAGCTAGAAGCATTAATGAATGCCTTGCCTTGAAATGTCGGTTTTCTTGGCATTGTCCTTTGGTTGGTTGGTCTTTTTTTGTTTGGTTTTGGTTTTGGTTTTTGGTATTTTGAGACAGGGTTTCTCTGCGTAGCCATGACTGTCCTGGATCTTGCTCTGTAGACCAGGCTGGCCTTAAACTCAGAGATCCACCTGTCTCTGCTTCCTGGGTGCTGGGATTAAAGGCGTGCGCCACTACTGCCCAGTAGTTGATTCTCTTGTATTGGTCTTAAATGAGCTTTGCACTTCACCCAGAGATGCCATGCTCAGCACATGCCTTTGATGGTGTACCAGACAGGGCAGACAGGCACTGTGACCAGTCTGGAAGCAGGCATGAAGAAAGGCGGAGCTTCAGAACCTCTCTCCTCCAAGGCAGAGCCAGGGTGTGTGTAACAAGAAGCCAAAGGTTGGTCTTCGATGGAGTGGTCTGCTTAGTGTCTTTGCTTTTACTTATTTTAGAAATAAGAGAGCCAGGTATAGTAGCACACACGCCTTTAATCCCAGCACTCAAGAGACAGAGGCAGGCAGATCTCTGTGAGTTTGAGGCCAGCCTGGTCTACAGATTGAGTTCCAGGATAGCCAGGAATACACAGAGAAATCCTGTCTCAAAAAATACACACA